CCCATCCCATCCCATCCCATGGATCCCATCCCATCCCATCCCATCCCATCCCATGGATCCCATGGATCCCATGGATCCCATGGATCCCATCCCATCCCAGTGCTGGGCTGCGCCGCTCTCCCCGTGTTTCCCATCCCTGGCTCCCACCACAGCCCAGCCAAATGGGACTGGGGGTGGAGGATGGTGCTCTGGGGCTCCATCCCTGCTGGGGGATCCAGCCGGGACACCCCAAACCCAGCGGGGGACACACCCCGAGCCCCCTCCCCGTCCCTCTCGGCGTCTCCCGGCTCCGGGGTTTTCAGACCAGCAGGTGGAGATGTGCCATAACTTGCCGGGAACCGGGAGCCTGCACCCGGCTTGGCTCCTCCAGCTGCGGGAATGCGCCCCGGGAACACGCTCCCGGTGTTTGCCGGCTCAGCAGCCCCCAGCCCGCTCCTTGCGCCGGGCTCGGAGCAGCTGAGCGATCCCGGGAGCAGGGAAGGGGCGATGGGATTTTTGGCAGGCAGGTGAGGGGAGGGGACCCGGCTTCTGGCACAAGTTTCCAAGGAAAAGGGGGATCTGCAGGGATATTCCTTTTGGATTCTGGCTCTGGAGTGCCCTTGTGTGACCCCCAAGGCCCGCTCCACCTCCCCCAAACCCCAGTTCCTTAAATCCCAGCCCGATGATGGAATTTAGCAGTGAGAAGTTGGGCACCCCTCATGGAAATTCTTTTCTTCTACCCCTTTTGCCCTCTTGGTGTTTTTGAGGGAAGGGAGGAAGCTGAGGGAGATTCCCTGAGCGATGATTTTGGGGAGCATCAGCCACAGGGCCTGGTCCTCACCCAGACCTGTCCTTTTGGGGGAAACTGAGGCAGGGCTGGCAGCACCCCCTGGCTGGGGATTGCTCAGGAATTTTTGGAAACCCAGCTATTTCCTTGAAAATTTTCTTTTTCAGTCCTACTATTTCAACCACCCCAGCTGCCGAGATCCCTCTCCCAGCTCCTCTGCATCCTATAAAAGATGAAAAAAGGAAAAACTGAGGATCCCTGCAGATCCATCCATCGGCACCTCCCAGCTCCGGTGCCTGTTGTGGAGGGATCAGGGGGATGTGGCATCACACTGGATGAGGGAAGGGCTGCTTAGACAGCACCACCTGATTTTTTTGGCTCCTGCATTGCCTGGCCAAAATAGCGTTGGGTGTGTGGGAGCTGCTGGGTGTCCCCTCCCGCGTGGCGCCTGTCGCTGCCACCGCAGGAGCGCCCCATCCATCTGGAAAAGGTCACTCTTGCTAATCTAATCAGAAGATTTTATTATTAAATGCATGGCTCTGCTAACGAGCACCCACCCCGGGCAGGCAGGGAGGGAGGGAGGTGGCTGCTCCTGAGGTGGGACACGTTGGGACGGGGTTGGGGGACCCCGGTGGTGGCTGTGGGGATCAGATCTCCTCTGGAAGCTGTGGAGAAATGGTTTGGTGGGCTGGAGTGAGGTGAGTCCTGCTGCACATTTCCCAGGGAAAGGGAGGCTGGAGCTCACCTGCCTGGAGGTTGGAGGTGTGGGGTCCTCCAGCCACGTTTGTGGTGGCCCAGCCATCCCCACCCTGGATGGGTGGGGGCCATTTCTGTCACCTGTGCCACCAGCAGCCCAGGGCTGGGGTGCAGAGGTTGTTCCTCAGGATGTGCCTCTCCCTTCCTTTTCCTTGAGCTGTTCCCTGACCTGTTGCTGCTCCCTCGTCCCCCCTCAGCTCTGCTCTGGCCCTGGGGAGGCCACCACCAACCAAGACCATCTCAATCTTCTGGTGAAGCCACTGTCACCTTCTGGTGAGCATTTTCCCACCACCTGGATGATATTTGTCACTCTGGATTTTCCCTAAAAGCCCAAGCAGGCGCTGCTGGGGTGGCTTTGCCACCTCACATGGTGCTGTCACCTCCTGTCCCCTGCAGGAGCTGGGGTTTGCTCTGAGCTCTTCCCCAGGACTGGCAAAACTTGGGAACCGTTTCATTTTTCATTTATTTCCCTTTGAGGAAAGGCTGTGTTTTTGCTCTGGAAGATAAATCTGGTTGGAAATGCAATCCCTGCTGCTGCCAGCTCGGTGCGGCTGCGGGATCAGCTCCTCTCCTGGAGCACAGGAAGGGGATGAATCCCAGCCGTGTCTGAGCTGGCACCGCTTCCCAGCCCTGCTTTTGGGGGTCTGGGGCTGATGTTGGACCCCAAACCTGGGATCTGGGGCTGGATTTCCCTTGGGTGCCTCTGGAATGGAATCCGGCTCCACCACGATTCACCCACGGAATCGTTCTGGAAGGTGTTGCTGGGCACAGCCTGGAGGTGTTGGGAGAGCAGCCTGGGGGGAAATTCAGTGTTCAGAGGGTGCTGGGAGGACGTTCCTGCTCCTGGCCATGCGGGGAATGGGGCGATCCGAGCCGGACACGTGGCTTTGGGGGTGTCCCTGCATTGTCCCTGCTCTGTCTCCACGCTGGGTGCTGGGGGTTTGTCCCTCAGGAGCTGCTGATTCCCATTTCTGGCTCCCCAGGGTGGTTTTTAGGAGAAGCCACCTGTGCCCACCTGGGCTGCTCCCATCGTGGGGCTCCCCCAGCCCAGCGACCACCACGGAACCTTCTGGGGTGCCCCATTTATCCCAGGCCGCCTCCCCTGCCACTGCTTCTTGGACAACCGTGATCAGGGACAATCAGCCTCTTCCCTGTCCTTTTCTAATCCCCCCTTTTTAATTAATTTCCTCATTTTGCTCCCTCCTCTGGAAAGGCCTTCTCCTCCCTGTCCCCCAGCCTGTCCCTTGCCGTGATTTGTGGAAATTGCTCTAAAGTAGCTGCTGTGTAAAAGCCTTGCTGGCTCCAGGAATTTATGGCAGGCTGTGCCTCTGCACGGCACATCCCATTTAGGCCATATTTATTTATTCCTTTAGCTCCCTGGCTGGTTCTTTTAAATTTTTTTCCCCCCCTGTTTTGTTTATTCTCTTTTGTTAATTTCCTGGGGGAAGAACAGGCCCCGCTGGGGGATGGTTCCATTTTGCTCGCTGCTGCTTCTCCCCCAGCAAAAAAAAAAATATCCCAGGATATGTCCCAGCAGTGTTGCTGGATTTTATTGCTCCTGCTGATGGAAAAGCCAGGCTGGACTTTTGGGAGAGGGAGAAATCTCAGGGATCTACAAGAAATGAGCCCACCAGGCACAGCCCTGTGTCAGAGAATCCACTCTTGCTGCTCCCAGGAATCCAATCCCAGCACTCCCATCCAGCTCCCACTCAATTTCTACCCCAGGCTGATTTTGGGAAGCTTGGATCAGTTTATCCTCTGGTGCTGTGGGAATTCCCAGCTCATCCCTGCCGTGGCCATGGACAGATCCAGGAGCATCCCTGCTCTTCCCACGCTCTGCCCGCCGCACGCCAGGGGAAGGTGATTCCACATTTGTAACAATTATTCACTTAATTGAGTTCCAATTAGCTGGGACTGGAGATGGAGGCTCTGGATGCATCAGAGGGAAGGGGGAGCTTGTTGTCATTTATGACACCAAAACAAATTTCCAAGGCTCTGCCTGCAGGGAAGGCTTTGGAGGTTTCCATGAGGAGTCTCCCTGTATTTTCTGCTTTTGGCTTCTGTTGAATTCCTGGTTTTTGGTTGTTTTTTTTTTACCCTGGGAGTGCGGAGTGGAGAGGGGGGGCTGGCTGAGTTTTGGGTGGAGGCCTGGAGGATTCTTTTCTGCCTTTTTGTTGTTTTTTAGGGTGTTTGGAGGTGCTGACCCCACTGGGGTGGGAGTGTAGGGTGGCAGCGGTCGGTGCTTGGGGATGAGGAAGGGATTCCCAGGAGAAGCAGGGAAATGTCTGAGCCTGAGCCTTCCCTGGGAGCTGGGACCACCTCCAGCTGTGGGAACATCCAGCTGTGGGAGCTCCAGCTGTGGGGCACCTCCAGGAGCTCCAGATGTGGCACATCCCAGGTATTTACCACCTCAGTTTCCCCTTTGTGCTTGGTCCCAATGAATGGGGTGGCAAAGGCTGAAGCAGCAGATTTTGGGGATGGGATACACAGGATGCTCAGGGGAACGGGGTGGAAGCAAAGAGGAGTGAGAGATCCGTGCTCCAGTGGGGAATAGCCAGGCTGGAATTCCTCTTTGGGGGCTCCTGGTTCTCGGGGTTTTGGGGGGATCCATCACCCCACTGACTCCTCTGGGCCTGTCCTGCCATCATCACCCTGCTCAGGGCTCCAATCATCACCTGGAATGACGCTGGATCTGGGGATAAGGGAGTGCTGCTGGTCCTGGAGACTGCTGGGCACCAAAATCCCTCCATAGGAGCCCCAAGCTCGGCTGGGAGCCCTCAGAGAGGGCCAGTGCCACCCCCTCCATCCCCCCCGGGCATTTGGGGTGGGTTTATCACTGTGGCAGCTCAAGCCACTGCTTTAGGGACAACTGTCCTGCCTTGTTCCCAGCTGGGACCGCCTGGAAGCCTGGCGGGGGCTGGGGCTGGTGTCCCACATTCCCCGGAGCTGCGTTCAATCCATCGATCCACCGAGCCCCCAGCAGCACCCATTAACATCCAGAGAGGTTTTAACCCTCCCGAGCCGACCTCAAACTTCCCCTCCCTCCTCTCCAGGGCTTTCCCTGTGTGCTTTTCCCCCCATAAGTGGGGATATAGCCCCGGGAGCCCCTGCTGTGTCCCACGGGATAAGCCAGGATAAAGATCCCTCCTGGAGCAGTGATCCCCAAGGCCGACAGCTGGGGCTGGGCTAAGCCCAGCTCAGCTCTGCTCTCGGTTCTGGAGCAGGGGAGCAGCAGGAGGAGGCTCTCCAGCCCCGGGAGAGCAGCTGGGAGCAGGGATGGTGGAAGCAGGATGGAGAGGCTCTGCCTGGGCCTCGTTTCCTCGGGATTCAGGGCAAGAGGGGAAGTGATTGAACTGGAGGCTCGATCCAGTGTGTCCATCAGCCTCTTCTCCCGTGTGTGCACCGGGCTGGCCGAGCCCAGCATCCCCTGCATCAGGACTGGGGATGATGATGGTGATGATGACGATGATGATGGTGATGACCTAAACCCGATGTCGGGGGATGTTTCAGGGACTTTTGCTGTTGTTTTTTCCAGCAGCGAGACCCCCTGGCCCAGGTGTGGGATTTGGGGCAGGGCTGGAGGGCGCTGCCACTGTCCCCACCTGCCCTCCTGGGTGGCCAGAGCAGCTCGGCACATCTGGCCCCGCCTCTGGGCACATCTGGCGGGGCAGATGTGGGGCTGCACAAAGGGGTCACCACTCGTGTGTTCACACCTCCCTCCCCCGCCCAGGCTGCGGGACACCCCGAGGGGACACACGGGAGTCCCGCTGTGGGGCTGGGGGTGGCTCCTCAGCCCGGGGGGGCTCGGGAAGCCCCCAGGCCAGCGGGGATCTGGCCAGGCACGGGGAGATGTGTTTTGGCTGGCAGTGCTGAGCTGCCAGGGTGGAAGGACCATATGGGCCCCTCTGTGCCGGCCTAATAAAGCCGGAATGCAGGTCAGGTGCTGCAAATCCCGCTCGCCACAGCGGCAGCAGGGCTGCGGAGCAGAGCCAGCCGGCAGGGCTTAACCCTTGTGTCCCCCCAGACCCGGCCATGGGGGACGTGAGGCCACCCGGGGGTGACAGGGAAGCAGGGACAGTGGTGTGGGACTGCAGTCTCCTGAGCTGTGTTTTCCTTTCCTTTCCTTTCCTTTCCTTTCCTTTCCTTTCCTTTCCTTTCCTTTCCTTTCCTTTCCTTTCCTTTCCTTTCCTCTCCTTTCCTTTCCTTTCCTTTCCTTTCCTCTCCTTTCCTCTCCTCTCCTCTCCTCTCCTCTCCTCT